TCTTAGGAGACCTTCTGCAGCTGGCACTGCATTTCATCGTGTGGAGGAGCACAGTTCCACAAGCCCCTGGCTCTCCTGCATCAGGGAAGTTTGTGGTGGCAAGCATGTACTCATGAAATCCAGATCTCGAACTTCTTTGTGTGATTGATCATGTATGTGAGGAGGAAGTGGAAGGAAAGGGCATGTGTGATACTAAGCTACATTCCTTTGACACTTTCACACATGAAGGGAGGAAAAATCAGTACTAAGAAGCAGTGAGATGAGGTACTGATGGTCAGGGTACATCCAAGGTGTCAGCTTAGGTGGCTTTTACCAGAACCCATTCTATGATAACCTGTTACTGAACTTCTGTTACAACACAGCAGCAGTTCACCTGAAGCCTCCATACATACATTAGATGTCTGTCTTGATATGCTAAGAAAACTCCATAATCCCGTAGGACATTAAAAATCTATAATAATCCCTTCCCACCCTGAGGTAGCAAAGTCATCGTTTTTTGCTACAATGGACAATAAATGCACTTGTGGCTTGGCATTCATTCTTCTATAGAGGCCAGACTGGACAATAGCTGGAGAACATTGCTGGGGAACAGTGGAAAACAAAGCCGCAAAGGATCTGCTGTGTCTCCTCTAATCATAAATCCTCCTTGAGCTGCAAAGCCACACTCTTTTCTTTCTTTTTTTTAATTTCATTCTAGTAGCCTTCAAAATCAATTTTGCCTGAAAATAACCTTTCATGGGTATATCAAAAGAGGAACGTGTGGCTTTGTTTGTTTAGTTCCTACCCTCTTGGAAATAAGTTTTGAAGAAAAAAATGATAGATTATCCTGTCTGAAACACTAGACTTTGGTGTAAAACACATTTGTTTTAACTTTAGTGTAAATGAAGCTCATCCCCACAGTGCTCTTTGAGATTGAATAGAACAGAAGTCACTGAAGAACAGAAAGATTGCAACCAATGATGTTTTTTTCCTGAATTGCTGGCATGTAGGATTTAATTTAGTTAACTCCTACGGCATAAGAAGATAGTGGAGCTGCGTGCAAATTTTTCTGCATCAATGCTAAGCAATAGTAATATTAAGGTCACTTTTGCCTTTCTTTCTGTGAAGAGTAATACATTTTAGGGACATACCTTCAGCTTGTAAGTTGCACAGCATGAAAACAGAGGACTGGTTTGGGTTATCTTCTTTCCCAGTTACAAAATCAGTTTTGTAACAGTTTTTACTTACAACTAATCAGTTGTAAGTTAAAAAAAATGCTCTAAATACTCTGTGGTGGGACACCAAAAATCTGTTTAGTCAGTTTCAAAATGGACCACAGGTAGCAGTTGAAGAACTATTGTTGGCTGGGATTTCCTCATGGTGGTCTTCCAGAATCAAAACAGCGTACAAAAATAAGTGGCACATGCTCTTGTTTTTCTGTTTTCAGGATTTAGTGTGCTTCAGCCTGCAGACAAAGCAGTACAGGCACCTAACCAGCGTGCCACATGGAGTCATCGTTTTTAGATAACAGCTTTTCAGGAATGCAGCTGGGGCAGCACTGGAATCTGCTTAGGAACTTTGTTACAGGCTGTGATTTGACTTCAGTACCTCTTAGGTATGTCTTAGTATTCAATCCCACCAGTGACTTTTTAAAAATGACTGAAATTGGTAATACAGATTACTTCATAAGATTATAATTACAATGTGTGAGGATATGTTTATTGACAGCTTTGGCATCTTTGGCAATTGAATATAAACTTCCCTGCTTTAGGCATGTTAGTTGACAGCTTTAGTGATCTAAAATGCACTGATTAACACAAGCGGGATCTCAGTTTAACCCCTACTACTCTGTGGTATGTAAAGCACGCAACATGCCTTTTGGACATTATAATTGTGCTTCAGCTATATATTTTAGTCATCCTAATGCACAAACTGAAACAGGTTATCTTTATGCTCTGGACACAGACATAAGGTGAATAGTAAAGCAGCCTGGATTTTATAAAATATGGTCTGCCTAATTTGTGTAAGATGAATCCGTGTCTGGAACTGCTTTGGCACTGAAGAAAAGCTGTGAAACTGCTTTGAAGACCATGCAGTATAACTTCTGAGGACCCATATAATGTGTTTTTCAACTGGTAAATTAATGTTATTATATGTAAAGTTCATATTCAAGTGGAAATTTCTGCGCAATATGAACCTGTGAAAGTATTTTGTAAGGTTACGCTTAGGTTCTCCAAGTACATCTGTCCTGGTAATGCTGAAATCAAACCCTATGAGCAAAAAAATAAGAGGCATACATATTGTTGCAATTTAAGTAGCAGTTTATATTAAATCTCTCACAAATGCACAGATAATTCAGTGAAGCTGGCAATAACGATGCCTAGTGCTGCCACTTAGTGGAGCTGTGCTTTTCTTCCTTAAATTAGAAAGTGAAGACTAGGAATGCTTTTTTGTTGCAGCTGGTAAAATCCTCAGTTGGTACAGAAGTGTTTTGCAGTGGTGTTGGGTACCCAGAGCTCTTGTATAAGTACCTTTACATTATGACAGGAAGCGTTTGAGGAATACAGGAGTGAAATACCTCAGGTGAGGAATGCATACTCTTTCTGCTGCCTCATATATAAAACAATCACATCAGGAAATAAGTACCCAAATAACTAACTTCATCTGGAACTTAAGCAGCCTGCAGAAATTCCAGACACAGGAGATCATGGGTTTCTATCATTATGGAAGTTGAAATGATGAATTTAGCACCTGAAAAACAATCAAGTTACGTGTGCTGGATGGATGGTTAGATTTCATGTTTCTGTTATAAATAGACCACGATGACAATTATTATTATTTTTGGGTAACTCATGTACAAGTTGCTGGAATATATTCATATTGGGAACAGGAATGTCCCATGAAGATCAAGCTACAGTCAGACTGGTATAACTGATCAAACTCATGTCCCCACACAACACATTTGATCTGCCCCTTCAGGGCAGAATCGAAATTGCTCTTTTACTCCACTGCACGCAGACATAAACTGAAAAGGACATTCTTTTAAACAGAATCCCTGTGGTGCTGTCTTCCACCTCACCTCCTGTTTTTCAGCTTCCAGGCCAAACACAGCTCATGAGAATGAATTCCTTGGAAGCTCCTGGCAGAAAAGAAAAAAACAGATAAGAGTTAATGTTATCTGTACAAGAAGAAATCAATGTTTGTTGTACCATCTGAGTGCAATTGAGCATATAACAGCTATTAATATTTCAGTAATTGAAGCCAAATATCCAAACAACAGAAAGAAAATCATATATACTTTATCAGTAGGTAAGACATGAGAGTAACCAGTTTAGATGTGTCTGTTAGCTTATCTCTGAATAAATCAAGCATTGTTCATATCCGCATGTTTCATATTCACAGGTTTCTCCCTGTGTGGATAGCACATACAAGCTTAAGCTGCAGTATTTACAACTAACATCACTGCTGGCTTAATGCACAGGTGGAACTACAGTGAGTCATAAAGCTTTTGTTTATCCTTTCTACAGGGAAAATGTAATACAGCATATATCGGCTCCATAATACTCTGGCAAAAGGCAAAGCATAGGCTGTTCTATGGTTAGTGCATAGTAAAAGTGGAAGAAGATTTTATTTTGGGTCAGTTTTCAAGACAGTAAAGCACAATTTATCTTTTTGCCATTTTCTTCCTCTTTTGTGGGTAATTCTTTATAAGAATGCAACAAATCCTCCTTCCTGTTCTTTTAAGAAACGGCTCATGTCTTTGGTACTTTTTACCCTATGGAAGGAGAATAGATTAACTTATATACTATATGGAATAAAAGTACTTCCAGATAGGAATATACTCTGGAACTATATTCCAGGTAGGAATAAACTCAAAACTCACTGTAAGTTAGATACAAATATATCTTAAATTTATCTGAATAACATAATCATATGTGGGGAAAAAATGTAAGCCCAACAGAACCAACTGCGAGCTTTTTAAAGGCATTTAAGAATCTAAAAGTCATAATTTATTTTAAAATATGTCCAGAGAACCTTAAATATCCCAAAGTATTTTGAAGTATTCCCAAAGCATTATGAAGGTGTGTTCATATTCCAGAATCAGTAGCTGCAGTCCTCTTAGTTAATTTTTTTGCAGGATCTTTCCCTTAGGAAAATGTCATTGTGAAAGCAAGGGAAGAAGTAGGAAATATCACAAGAACTGAGCATCTGAGATCTTCACTTAGGGTTAACATGCTTTCAAGATGTGCTCTGCCAGGCAACAACCTTTTCTCTGTAGTAAGCACCTCTGATGTACTTTCAGATTTCTTAACCCCCGTTTAATCCTAATTTTATTGTGCAGTAACAGTCTGGCCCTGTTACAACTTAAGTGATGTTGTGAGTGGAAAGCACACTGATACACCGTAAGTCCCGAATCTTCCATTACCCTATATACTGGTCCTGGAATTTATTCCTAAACTAATCAGATTTGGCATTAAGTGAAGGAGGTAATTCCAGAAAGATGCCTTATCAGCAATTGCACTCCCATCCCTGATTGGGGTTTGGGCCGAATCCTTTCCTGTATGTTGCCCTATTTCTTCATTAGTCTCTTCTCCGTGCTCTGGATGTTGCCAGAGAGATTCTGTGCCCTCAATGGAGACAAGCACTGCAGCACTGCCTCGATAAGCGACTGCCAGTCAGGAGCAGGTCCCTTCGGCACGTGCACTAGGGAAGCTGGACGGCAACGGGCTCGTGATGCACACGCAGTGCAGCCATTTATCAAGCCTCTTCCAACTATGCTCATGTGGAATCCATGAGACAATTTCCACCGTCCCACAGACGGATGACTGGAGGCAGTTCCTGCACACCTCATAGGGACATTTAAGCTCAGGCATGTGAAGAGGAGAGGAGCTAATCATGCCCCAGCTCTGGGAAAGGCTTAATTGAAGCTTGTGCCTTTGACACCGCAGAGGCCGACGTTTCATTCAGGGCTCAGGTTTATTTCTCCCCTTCCAAGCTGCTGCTGCCCCTTTTGTCCTCACCTTCCTTCAGCCCCGCATCCCAGTGTCCCCACGATGGGCCCGAGCCCTGTGTCCCCACTCGGACGTGCCCTCCATGACCAGCTCTGGCAGTTTTACCTCAGGCTTGGGTCTCCTGAGGGAGCCCTGAGGCGCTCCCTCAGGGCACACCTCAGAGACTTCCCGCGCAGGGCGGACGGAAGAAAAGCGTGATACGAAGGCAAGTCCGTGCCTGGGCGGGCGGGAAGGCGCGGCTCGGATCCTCACCTCGGCTTTATCAGCACCTAACTGCCAACACCGCGGCCATCTCCCGCCTCCTGTCTCAGCCCTGACCCCCTTAGCTCGCTTCCAGCGGCCGCCGGCAGGTGGCGCTACCCTCCTGTCCCTGCGAGCGCCGCGCCCCGCCCCGCCCCGCCCCTCGCTGCCTTCCCTTCCACCAAGGTGAGGCGTTGAAGGGGCGGGGCCCCGCGCCTGGCCACGCCCCCCTCGGCGCAGCGCGTGCTGCCCGGCGGCCTCGCGGAGCAGCGGCAGCGGGTGGCGGCTCGCCGCGGAGCGTGAGGGGAGCTCGGCCCTAGCCCCGGCGCTGCAGCGAGCACCGGAGCGGGAGCGCCACCGCGTCCTCTGCCTGCTACAGGAGAAGCCATGAGCCCCGAGGAGAAGCCGCCACCCGGCCGCTCCCGCGATGGCCGGCCACCGCCGCCGCCGCCGCCACCTCAGCCCGCTCCCGGCCGAGGCCGGCGGCGAGGCGGCTTCCTGACGGAGATCCGCACGCCCATCCGCACCGAGCCCTTCCAGGAGCGGTACAGCCTCAGCCCCGGCAGGGAGCTCGGCAGGTGAGCGAGCGCTGGAGGGGTGCCCGGGGGCCGTCCCCGCCGGCATGACCCGCTCCAGGCGCTGGGTGTGACGGGGGTGCCCGCGGCGGAGCACCTCTTCCCCGCTGTGCGCTTCTCAGCGCGCTGCCGGCAGGGTTTCACCTGCTGGCCCGTCCGAGCACCATTAGAGGTAGCGTAAGGAAAGGGAAGATGGGGGTCACTGCCCTGTCGGTGCCACCGTTTGCTGGCGTCTCCCTGCTGGGGTGGGCTCGCGGGACGTGCTCTGGGTGTTGGGCTGGGCCGGGCCGGGTGCGGGGCGGCAGCTGTCAGCGCAGCTGTACCCCAGCTGCCGGCCGCGTCCCTCCTTCCGCTGAACGTGTCACCCCGGCCCGGCGGAGCCGGCTGCTCCCCGGGAGCCCGTGTGGGCAGTGAGCATTGCCCCAGCTTTCCACTGGAGACGGAAACCTGCCCGTTTGGGTTGTTTTTCCTTAAGCTGTGATACGGAGGAAAGCGAGTCTAGAGGAGACGGGGTTGTGGTCCCATGTGCTTAAGAATAATCCAGTGGTGGAGCTTTTCAAAGAACTAAAAAGCTGGTTAAGAACATGGATTTGAAAGTGATTCCACATGTAAGGTTTAATAAATGTCTAATTTCAACACCTGGCACATAGCAAGGGTTGAGGCAGAAAGCCTTGTTAGCAGCTTTTTACCTCTCAGGAGCTATATATATGGCATTTCAGCACCACTAAACCAGTTTTTTTTGTCTGAAATTGTCACTTCTTACCAAAGAATGACAGTATCCTTATTCGCAATCACATGTGCATTATCTAAAGAGTATTCCACTACAGGAGATTAGATGAAATACCACAGGATCTATGACAAGATGTATGTGCTTTTGCAAGTTGTGCTGGCTGTGTAGCTCAGTCTATACAGCAGCAGAACCAACCCCTTCCAAGCTAAAGGGGAGTTTCAAAGCAAATGTACCTGCTGTAAGTAACAATACTTTAGGTTGCCTAGGTGTCAACTTAATGCTCACTTAGTAACTCTGGTGCACTAATAGGATAATGCCTGTTTAAACATAGTGGCCTAAAGCATTCGCATGGGAAGCAGGTGGGAGAAATTTCCCATGAAGTGAGAAAACTTCTTTTAGCATGATGTGACCACAATGTCCAGGGCTTGGTAGCTGAAGCTGACTAAGTACAGGCTACGAAACAGCCTGAATTCTAAGCAGCAGCCAAGAAGGTGTAGGAGCAGCACAGCACAGGGTGTCCTGGTATTGCTGCTGCTCCATGCTTTTTTATCTGGAGATCAGGTGGCTTTTCACTAAAGGTATTCTGCAGTTCTGCTGCAGATTGAGAGTTTCTCCTCAAGCTGGTGTCTCCGATGAAGTTTCTCTTAACCAGAAACTAGACTGGATGAAGATTTCTTCAAGCACACAGAAGTACAACCGAAGTGATTAGCTTTACACCATGAACAAGAATGAAGTTCTACAGTAAATCTTATTCTGCAGTTTAAACAAGTAAATCCCAGCAGGCTTTTTGTGTGGAGTCACTTTTGACCAGAATACATGTACAGATGATCTTTGCATGTAGGCTGTGATGTTGCACCTGTAGTTAAGTGACTGTCCTGGTTTTGTGCAGCAATTGCACCTTTTTGTTTCAGACTATGCCTTTTTTTCTCCTCAACTTCACAAATGCTTTCACTGTCTTCTCTCTTAGAGTACAGAAATCGGTGCACTTCAATGTATGCACTTGAGTTTTTATTCAACAATTCTGAATGCTTTTTCTTGCTGCGTTTTGATTAAAAGAAGTGAATGCTTCAGCTCAAAGACTCATTAAAATGTTTGGTTTTGCTATCTCGTGACAAAACGCGAGTGGTAAACAGAAAGTCTCTCTGCCTCTTGTAACTGTCTCATTTTATTGATAGCGAATGCTTAGCAGGAATTGTTTCACTTTTATCTGTTCAGAAAGTGTGTAAGTCTCTACTTACGGCTAGAGTGTATCTTTAGAAAGGGCTTTGACAAACTAGCGCCTAGATATGACACGCTTTTGTCTCGGATGAAGAGCAGACCTTGCGCACACAACATTATTTTACTTGTGATTTGGTAATGAAAATTTGCCAATGAAAGTGTTTCTACCTTCTGTGAAACTCACAATTAGGGAAACAATTGAAAAGCTGAACTTTGAGAATAAAACATTTTTATGAGTTGTGTTTTAACATGACAGTGGGGAGAGAAAAGAAAGATTTAGTGCCTTTGAGAGCAGGGTAGCTGCGTGAACTCGGCAGGTTTGTGTGCTTTTTGGCCTCCAATCAGTCAGCACACTTATGTGAAACTCCCCATGGCACTTGGAGCCTCTGCCTTCTGTTCCCTTGTCACTTGTGTGTGAAGAACACACCTATATGTTCCTCTCGGGAAGAGGGGGGAACATGGGAGAATATTAAAGCGCTGTAGTTCTAGCAATGCAGGGAAGGGAGGTAGTGGGGCTGCTGGCCACTGGTGGCATGTTAGGGGTGAAATTCCTGGGAAAGTGTAGCTGAAAGTGTCAATGAGCCTGGGAGGAACCTGATCACAGGTTCTCACAGCAACTGCTTTGAGAATGTAAAGCTTATGCGCTTCAAAAGGCTGCTGCCTCATTCAGTAGTTGAACAGGCATTTGCAAGTCTCTCGAAATACAGCTGCTAGGCAAAACGAATTAATTTAGGAAAAATACCCCAAAATATGGTTATATAATGGCTACTTTGGAAAAGTTCTTTTAAGCTGCTTAGGAGGACATGGAAATAGTAGGTTTTTTTTAATGAAATATTTTAACAAATGAAATTTTGGGCTAGTCTTCACAGCCTTAATGAATTGTACTGTCCCAAAATCGGAATATTCTCACACAAATCTTAATCTGCATGATGTTTAAAATCAAACCTCTGATGGATGTTGTAAAGGTGCCTCTTCCCATCAACTCACTCAGACTTCAGTGTTTTCAGAAGGTGCTAGCTTGAGTTAGGTTAGTTTGAAGTGATGTAACCTTTGCGGAGAACAAAACACCAATTGCTTAACTCTTCTTCCCCTTACCATCTGTGCTTAAGCCATAATTGTACTGTAAAGTGGGGAACAATGTATTTTGTGTTACCTAGCACTTCCTTAAAGAGTCTAGTATAACTGAATCTAGTTGCTTTGCTCTTTTTCATCAACAAAAAGCTAAGTTCACACAAAATATTACTAGATTGTTAGTTAATTCTTCAGCTCATTGATAGAGCACTCTGTAGTTTCACATGCAGATAACCCATGTCTTTGAATGTTTTACTTCTTTTGTTACCCACGAACTCTGACATGAACTTCCCTATTTCTCAAGTAACTTTCAGTAATGTGTGTGTCTTAGTAGTACATGGCACTTGTATGATTTTCTGCATCAGTAAAAATGTATATGCTATCACACTTTGGTCTGCAGCTCCCCTCTGCAGTAGCACAGCTAGGGTGAAACAGTTGTGGAACTAAGTGGAAGTGGGAAAGAGGTTAAAATGAAGAGTTGCAAGCAGTTGGTTCCACCATTTGAGAACAATTTTATGTGAGTAAATTATTCATGAACATCAGAAATGGAATCCCTGCACCTTGCTGTTTGGAAATTGGGAATTGTATGGAAAAAAAACACTTTAGAAGATGTTTGATATGAGTTATGAAATAAATTGCATGTAGTTTTGTGGGTCTCAAAACTTTTCTGAGCTTCACAAAAAGTAAATGTCTTCACAGGAATTGCAGTTATTCCTGCATTTGTTGCAGTGTTTTATAGGTCACTTGAAAAATACTCATTAAAGTAAGGCTTGTTCTCTGCTCTTCTGAGCTTATGACAACCAAAATTAACAGATGTGACATGAGTGTTCCTGCTTACCTGATTTGACACTTGATTTGTGATTTGAGGCTTTTCCTTTAAGCCACAATGTATGCCAGATGAAACAATGCTAATTCTGTTGACAGTCTGAAAAGATGACATTGAGCTTCTTTGTAATCAGATATGATTTATCTTAAATCATAATTCTTGAATGAGACTCTTGTGAGGGCTGAGAACTACTTCTAGTTTCCTCTTCATGTCTGCCTTCAAAGCATTTTTGTTTGTGTTGGGATGACTGCTAATCAGTTTTCAACTTTGGAAATGAGCATTTGCCCGTTTCCTCTCAAAACTGTTCTTCCTTCAATGCAATGCTCTCGCCGCCAGCTCTTCTCAAGACAGCCAAACTAGCAATGCTCTGTTCTAACAGTGTTTTCGCTATTTAGTAGATGATTTGTTTTATAAGGAGTTCTGAAAAGCAGCATTTAAAGAAAAAGATTAAGTGTATGCAATATACTTTGTAGGAAAGCATGTTTTTATCTATCTTATCTACTATTCTGTCTCTATCAAAAAGCAATTTTTCACAAATGTCTCTTGGTCTAACCATACAGTGGATGGTCTGTTTGGATCTGAGCTCTGAAACTGGCTCGGGCAT